TATGTATGTATGTATGTATGTATGTATGTATTAATGTATGTATTACTGTATGTATGTATGTATGTATGTATGTATGTATGTATGTATGTATGTGTGTGTGTGTATGTGTGTGTGTGTGCATGTGTGTATGTGTGTATGTGTGTGTGTATGTGTGTACGTATGTGTGTACGTATGTGTATGTATGTGTACGTCTGTATGTATGTGTATGTGTATGTGAACTGTACCAAGATCCGTAAGCAACCCTAAATCCTAAACCCTCCCTGAACTTCAAACTCTATGAGCCAAAACCCTACACCGCAAACCCTATAAACTTCAAACCCTAAAACCCTGAACCCTCCTTACGTCCTAAGCCGCGCGGCCTCCCCAAGACCCGAAGGTATCCGAAGCAGGAGATCGAGGATCGGCAGCTGCAGCTGAAAGCGGAGCTCACTTCCTTGAAGAGGAGGGTTTAGGGTTTTGGCTCTTGAAAGCGAGTTTTATGGCGGGTTCAGGGTATAAGGTTTAGGGTGAAGGAGCTGTTGCAACGGTTTCTTCGGGTTTTTTCAAAGTCTTTGTAAGGTGGCTCCTTGACCGGTACCTGTTTGGGGGAGTCTTCAAGATTAAGAAGAGCTCAGTATGCAAGTTAGGGCACCTGGGTATGCTCCTGCTTCAGAGAGAGTGGGGTTAGGGTCGGTTAGGGTCTTGGGTCACCCTCAACCCTAAAACCCAAAACCCAAAACCGACTCATGGCTTCGGGTATGGCGGGTTTCGGACGGAGCTTCGATGTCCATTACCCTCGAAGCCAAAAGGTGCACCCGAAGCCCACACCGCCAAACACTGGATGAAGAGAGTCAATCAGGGTTTAGGGTTTAGGGCTTTTGAAAGCTGTAGGATGCCATGGCAGGAAGGGAGGAAACACGCAGTGCTTCGACTGTGGCGTTGCGGACGTGACTCGCCTGAATCCTCCAGCAAGGCCGACGGGAAGCCTTCTACCTGGCCTGAGCCTTGACAGGGCCATGAACTCGCTGCGTCGGCTGCCACTCTTCCTGCTCATGACTATAATAGTCCCCAAGGAGCGACCGTGCCCATCGTCTGGTAACAGTTGTATGAGCTGTCACAAGGAGGCGTGATGCGTTGATCGCAGTCTTGCTCAGGCCATGTGCAGTCCTGTCTAGGCCAAAGAGGCTAGAAGTGGAAACCATGTCGATTAAAGGCCCCCGACTGAAACTCCAAACTGGACTGTCGCAGCATGATGAGACTGAAAAAGTCATGAGCTTGAGCACTGACTTAAGGAGGGACAACCAGGCCCAAATTCGACAGGAAAGGAGCCCTTGCAGCTCATTAAATCCGAACCCCGGAGATTCACCAGAGTCAAGATCGCGGAAAAGGGTGCGAACTCCTAAAGCCCACCGCCTATAAAACGACAAGGTGACATGGGCCTCACCCAAACTGGGCACGTTCCTCTGCGTGACTTGCTCGGACATCCACCGGGCAGCGGGCGCCCACATCACCTGCGCGACCAGGGCTGCAATCGGAGTAGACGAGCCTCAACCTTTAAATTGTCCTTAATTTAGTACCCCTTAGTAGTTATAGTATAGTATAGCAATTATCCCTTATTTAGTAGCTCTGAATCTAGCAAATTACCTTGTCGTAGCCGTCATAGGCCCCTGTGGGGCAGTCGGGACCGGAAGTCCGAGAGTTTAGGGTTCAGGGTCTGGGGCTTATCGGTATTGATGGTTTGGGTTTATAAGGTCTGTTGTGTGGGACCATGGATGCCGATGTTTTCATTGTTTTCCTGGCCTGCAGGCCTGTCAATGTTGCTGTTTTTGGGTGCCCTAAGCCCTAAACCGTGTAGGTTTTAGGGTTTACGGTTTAGGGTGCACATAGCATGCCTTGGCAACAACGTCATGCTGCTAGTAGCAGTGGGGCTACCATCACAACGGCGACTATTGCTACAGCATGTAGCACGGTCTAGTGCTGTGAGCTGTTTCGATGCCGTGACTCTAAGCCTTCTTGGAGTTAGAGTGGAGCCTTGTCTCGGTTTCAAGGTTGCCCAAAGCCCCCGGAAAGTCCTGCCCTTAAGCATCTGAGTTGGACGTCGTCGCTCGGACAGGAAAGCTGAGGATTCAAGTCTCGCTCTGCTGTGCACTGTGGACCCCTCACGGACAGACCGCCCTCCCTTAAGAAGGACCCTACTTGTCGTCTTACTCTGGTTGGCCATGAAAAAGATTAGGTGCGACACAAGGATCTACATTCGATGTCCCAAGGCCCTATACCCCAAACGGTAAACCCTGAACCTGTAGCGGGCCCAGGGCGTCCAGTTCAGGGACAGACCAGGTGAAGAACTTCAGCACCTACCTTTGGTCTCCAGACGAGGCAAGCGGCAGCCCTAAGCCCACAACACGATCTAAGCTTTAGGGGAAGCCCTAAACCCCAAACCCTCCTTTATCGATGGCTTCGGGTTTAGATCACGCTTCCATTATGGCCCTCGTGCCAGTGCAGTTCTATGCCTTCTATGGTGTTGACACCATAGGGCCAATGCTGCCGGCAGCCGGTCCCCGTGCTTCTTGCAACGGCGATGTTATTACAGATCATGTTTGGCACATCGAGCCCCCCGAATCCCGAATTTTACTAGACACCTCGGGGTCTGAACCCGAATAACTCGTTCGGGATGTCTGACAACCTCGCAGGTGGCCATGATGCGCCTGGTGGGCAACGACCGGGCCAAGGAGCGCTTCTTACTGAATAGTTCTGGCTCTTATAGGGGTTTATAGGGTTGACGTAAATTATGTGGAGTTGGGGGTTCTTTACGACTGAAACGCGCTCGACACGGATTTTTTCTTTAAAAAATCGACAGAACTGGCATGGGGGCCTGGGCTCAGCTGCTTGGGGTTGGCTTGGGCTTGGAACCTTGGCTTGGAACCTTCGACCGGGAATGAGGGTGTAGGGTTTAGGTTTTAGGGTTTAGGGTTTAGGTTTAGAGTTTAGGGTTTGAGTGATGCTGGGGACCGGGCTGCTGTGTACGAGGCCTGCTGTAAAAGGGTTTGGACGAAGCTGGGTTTAGGGTTTTTGGGCCGGGCGCCAAGCCTGTGTAGAAGGGGTTTTGGGGCTAGAGTGGGTTGGGTGATGGGTGACTGGGTTGCAAGTTTAGGGTCTCAGGGTTTAGGGTTTTGCCTTGGGGTAAGTCTTCATTCCACAACCCCGAAACAAGACCACTAGACCCTAAACCCTAAACCAAGGCCTTCCATCCTGAATCCAACCCCCGAACCCTGAACCCGTCTTAAGGGAGCAGCCATAATACCATTAATAGACCTCCTAAACCCCAACCAAGCCCTTAAAGGAGCGATCAGAAAACCATGTATAGAACCCTGACAGGAACCCGCCCTGAACCCTAAACCCCTAAACTCCTGTAAACTCCCCCCCCACACAGGAACCAGCAAAGAACCTCCTGAGCAGGATCTCTACCGATCCTCCGCTCCGCTCTCCTGGTCCCCTCATGACTCCAAAGAACGGAAGGACGGGTTTAGGGTTTGGAGGGTTTAGCTAGGGTTTTGCAGGTTTGAGTTAGGGCTTGTCGGGTTTAATGAGGGCTTAGGGTCTGGACGGGTACAGCGTATTTGCCGGGTTCAGGAGCAGGCTTGGAGCGTGGAGGCACTTCAGAGAGAAAATGGTTCAGGATCCAACGTGTGTAAGGCTTAGCATGCGGGGGTTGTTTAGGTTTCAGGGCTTGTCGGGTTTAGGGTTCAGGACTCATGTAAGGCATGGATCCTCATTCTTATTTTTAATTTTGCAGGACCCAGGTTAGTTGTGTGGTATTGTGGCAGCTATGGAAACTTCAGAGATTGCTGTGTTTGGCAATGTTGAGTTGAGGGTTCGAGTTTAAGACTGCGGAGTTGTTCATGAATTGTGCAAGTTGTGACCGTACAACGAAGAGGGCTTAAACCTTGTTTCTAAGCTGAACAAGTGACGCTCCCACTGGTTGGCACTATAGTTTTTTGTTGCTGCAGTGGTCGTTAGTAGGTATGTTAAGCCGCTTGATATCTGGATCCACCTGTTACAAGACGTCAAGCAATGCACGATTGCAAACATGTAGTTGTTTCTCATCGTTCTGCTCTTGATTTCCATGCACTGTTTTACATGGAGTCCTTTGGAATGATTGTGTGGGTTTCATTCTTGCTGCTGCTGCTGCTGCTGCTGCTGCCCGCTTTCTAACCATCTTCATGTTGTGATGTTTCAGACTGAGCAGGTGCAGCTGTGCACACAGCTTTACGGTAACGCTACTGCCCAGAGAGCGTCTGCAGAGATGATCACTGCAGCCACAGCAGCGCCACTCGTTTGATCCTGGTAAGCCCATACTAGCAGGCGTTTCGCGTCGTTGGTTTGTAACTCAGATGCTGCGCAGCCTCAGGTCAGCATCGCCTGCGCCCAATCCTTCGCAGGGTTTCAAAGCACCAGCTGGAAAGATGCCGGCGGGAGCACCTGACTGGCTTGAAGACTGGTCTTCTCCACGCAAAGAAGATCCCAAGACGGCCCAGAAAAGCGTGGACCTATTGGGAGACCTGCTTGATCTTCAGCCAGTGCTTCAGAAAGCCGGTGCGGTGGAGGCAGACGTGTTCTTGCAGCAAGGCTATGTAGACGTTGTCAAAGCTCCTGCCGTCGAGCGACTTGGTCCAGAAATGCTTGTTTGACTGATGTTAGCTGTTAGCCGACTGCCATTAGGTGGCAGATTTTCTGTAGATGCTCTTAAGGAGGTCATCGTAGCAGCCGCAATGATGACCAACGCCTCTGGTGGGAAAGACTTGAGGGCAGGTAGGTTCACAGACACTGGTTTGCATCTCAGGAAGTTCCACAATGAGTTGGCGGGCGTCTTTGACAACAAGTGCCAACAGACCGTAGCCCAACCGGCCAGATGTGCCATGCAAATGGCGAACAAGGAAGATAATGATTTTTGGACTTCGGTGAACTGGGACGACCTCATGAAGTGAGCTAGGGTACTGATCTAGTGCCTGCTCCAGTTTCACGCTCAGCCAGTTGACAGCAGTCGCATGCATGAGACTGTGCATGCGTACTATGCTTGCTGACGGCCTGCTGATGTACAGTTTCAGCACGACTCTCCAAGCCGTGGCATCTATAAGCGACCCCACCCACCGATGCATCGGCCTGCTCAGTTGGGCTGTGCGACCAACTTTGCTGCTTCACCGGCTGCAGCGTTGTGTCATTAATTGTGTCAAGCATCCAGAACTACTGTAAGGGTCTCCGTCCAGAAAGCATGACAGCCAGCGGAATGAGCATAGCCTAGCTGCATAGCTTCCGTCATCAACACAACCGTAACTGCCATAACCTTCGGCATGACTTTCACCATCGTCATCATCATCAGCCGCAGCATCATCACCACCATCATCCCCAGCAGTAGCTGTCATAGTCATTAGCAGCCCTGTGCGCTGGTTCATCTTCACGTCATTAGTCGTTACCGCTGCGAGTAAGATCCCCGCTTACCGCCGAATCTTGAGCTGGTCTTCTCGCCGAGAAATTTGGGACTCCAGGGTGTAGGAATGTTTAAGATTTTTAGGGTGTCGGGGTTCATCTTTTTAAGGTCTATAGGGTCTAGGCTTCAGCCAAGGCCCTCGAGCCGACGTAGGGCTGGTTTCAATCCCTGTGGGCCGTCTTCGGCAATGTCGTTATACATATATATATATATATCT